CTGATGCAAAATTATCATCAGATCAAGTTTGATTAAAACGCAATTGTGAAAAAGGTCAGTTTTGAGGTAATGGGAGGTCCTCAGATCTTTGTTTAGTGGTAGCGAGAACTAAGATCTCATTTTAATGAGATTGAGAAAAAACTAGATGTTAGTCTACACTTGGGGCACCACACACAAATAAGGAGGAACCTGAAAAATCATTAAACGAGAATTAATTAAAAAAAAGGTCTACATTGATTACAAATGTCAATAGACAAGACCCAAGTAATAAAAATGTACTGAATGCGTTAAAAAACTAGCAATACCCAATGTGAATGATAACATAAATAAATACAGTAAATCAAAACATTATCTCGAGCCCCTGGTCCGAAAATAAAACAGATGTACTGTATTTGACGTAATAAGCGCCCAGGGCGCTCTCAAAATTAGAAATAGGGGTCCCTTATTAGAATATAATTGTGATGAAAAAAACAGTTGAAAGATCGTGAATTTTGTGGTTTATGCTGAGAGCCTGAACTCATACAAAATAAAAGTCTGTGTGTATTTTACATGACAGATATATTTTCCCAGAATTTAATTGCCCATAATTTAAGGGTGCATATAACACACGAGTGCATATTATACACGAATAAATAAGTATTGTGTACATTGATCAATCGGAAGGGGTGCTAATTGGGATTGTTCACTAGCCAATATATTAGCAAATATCGCCATGGGCTCTTATTACATCAAATACGGTATTTCAGAAGTTTACATTTGATTGGCTCCAGAACCAACTCATCCTTAATTTAGATTGGACAGTCAAAGATCAGATACATCGTTTATCAGGAGAACTGGTTTACTGAAACTTGTCATGAAATCCTTTTTACTACACTACCAGGTGGAATTTCTACGTACATCCAAAATAGCTCTCCGTCTCGTAAACAAGGCGTGTAATCAACAACAAACACAATAAATGACATACAGCAGATATACAAATCAACACCACCACATATAATGAACCAATGGCCCATCAGAAGCCCATCAAATCTGCACCAACCTTGACTCAGAATGCTGAACTTGATAGGAATCTGCTTGATGCGGACTTGATAAAGGTAGTGCTGTCCACTGGGTGAGAGATCTCCCTTGATGAAAGTTGAACTTGTAGGTAGGCCTGGAGGAGCGGTGTTGAGGTGCTGCTTGGTGGAATGGATGCCAGATGCTTTCTTGTAATTGATTTGCCAGACTGCAGCTTCGGCAGAGGATGTGGGATAGGAACGGGGAGACTTGATAATAATGTGGCTGAATTCTTTAAACTTTGAATTGGGTTCCAAATTCCTTGTGTTAAAATTTGGAGTGCCATTTTGGTTAAGTTGATAATGATGATAATGGCTTGTTTAGAATACATTCCGGTGCCTAAAGTCACTTTTAAATTTTTTGATTTTTTTAGAACAAAAATACCTTTTGAACAAGTTTCTTGGGGCTTTTCACATATTTCACACAAGTGAAATGGACAAGCAAAGCTCCAGATAACTTTTTGAGCAATTGAGTTTTTTACTCTAGGGTTTCTGTTGTAATTGGGGTATTACATTTTTCATTGGGTAACCAATATTTTTTCACTCATCTATTCATCCCTCTCTTGGGTATTTCCCAAAATTAGTGAACATTTTAAGATTTAAAAAAATGAAATAATGTTTTAGATGTATATAACTGTTCTAAATATATAGGCTTGACTCGGAAAGTAAATTAGCTTGTGTTTTGGAAATTGGCTCCTCTGTACGCATGCTGAGATATCTTCATTGGGTATTTATGCGAGCTGTTTTTATACATTTGAGTTTTTCATTTAATGCATGTGTTTCTGTACCCAAGTTAATTGAAAGTAATTGGGTTTTGAATATTAGAGGGGGGGAGGGGTATTTTACACAAATACGCATCTTATCTGTAACTCTGACAAGTATGTAGCAAATAAACATGCTTAACATGCTTAACCACAGTAGGATTGACACTATAAACCCAGGGATTCTGAAATTGAAAGGGGTGTTGTCAATCTAGATGGAAAGGAAATATGCCAAACTTTCTCTTTTACAACTGCTTATTATCTAGCTAATGGTTTTAAATGACATTCACCAGTATAGAAGAGGCCCTTGAAGATCCGGGGTAGAATAGGTCTTCAGCAACCCATACTTGACGTAAAAGACGACTATGCTTGTCGTAAGAGGCGACTAACGGGATCGGGAGGTCAGACTCACTGACTTGGTTGATGCATGTTACCGATCCCAATTGCTCACGATATCAATCACTGGATTGTCTGGTCCAGACTCGATTACTTACAGACCACCGTCATATAGCTTGAATATTGCTGAGTGCGGTGTTAAACAACAAACAAAGTAAAGAAGATGGATCATAAGTATTCTTTTTGCACTGTTGTATTCCAAGGGGCACACCTTCTAAATGGAGTGCCCATAGCACACTGGAAAACAACAGATTTGTATATTTGTATGCAAACTGTACCGGAAAACATAATCATGATCATAATAAACAAGAAATTAAATTGGATTAGCCTAATACCTGCAATAACGATACAGTTCCACAGCAACAACACAGAGCTACACGCCAGCAGGAGATTGTTACCTCATCCGATACGTCAAATTCCCATTCTCTGCTCCCTGGGGAGTATACATACATTTCATATCGCAAGCCAGACACGAGAACCTTTCTCTACGTAATAATGTCCGCAACAATGGTTCCTGAAAGCCCCAGTGTAATGGGAATGTTGCATGTGGAACCAGCACTTTCAGGATGTGCATCATCGGGATTGAGGGTTGTTCTCAAGTAGGCTGCTGTGTGTATGGAGGAGGGCTGTTGTGGAGCTATAGTGTAGGGATAGGGTTACAGTACTGCCTGTAATGTGAATCAGTGGATGTGAGGCCATCTTCTTACTTTTAACTGCATCAGGATAGAATTCCGGTTTGTGCGATGTTAAAGGTGGCTTGAGAGTATGGACTTGACTGTAGGTTGTGTCCCATGTTAAAGGTGGCTTGAGAGTGTGGACTTGACTGTAGGTTGTGTCCCATGTTAAAGGTGGCTTGAGAGCGTGGTATGTGGACTTGACTGTAGGTTGTGTCTTATGTTGAAGGTGGCTTGAGAGCGTGGTGTGTGGACTTGACTGTAGGTTGTGTCCCATGTTAAAGGTGGTGTGTGGACTTGACTGTAGGTTGTGTCCCATGTTAAAGGTGGCTTGAGAGCGTGGTGTGTGGACTTGACTGTAGGTTGTGTCCCATGTTAAAGGTGGCTTGAGAGCGTGGTATGTGGACTTGACTGTAGGTTGTGTCCCATGTTAAAGGTGGCTTGAGAGCATGGTGTGTGGACTTGACTGTAGGTTGTGTCTTATGTTGAAGGTGGCTTGACAGCGTGGTATTTGGACTTGACTGTAGGTTGTGTCTTATGTTAAAGGTGGCTTGAGAGTGTGGTATGTGGACTTGACTGTAGGTTGTGTCCCATGTTAAAGGTGGCTTGAGAGTGTGGTCTGTGGACTTGACTGTAGGTTGTGTCTTATGTTGAAGGTGGCTTGAGAGCGTGGTATGTGGACTTGACTGTAGGTTGTGTCCCATGTTAAAGGTGGCTTGAGAGTGTGGTCTGTGGACTTGACTGTAGGTTGTGTCTTATGTTAAAGGTGGCTTGAGAGCGTGGTATGTGGACTTGACTGTAGGTTGTGTCCCATGTTAAAGGTGGCTTGAGAGTGTGGTCTGTGGACTTGACTGTAGGTTGTGTCTTATGTTGAAGGTGGCTTGAGAGCGTGATATGTGGACTTGACTGTAGGTTGTGTCCCATGTTGAAGGTGGCTTGAGAGTGTGGACTTGACTGTAGGTTGTGTCCCATGTTGAAGGTGGCTTGAGAGTGTGGACTTGACTGTAGGTTGTGTCCCATGTTAAAGGTGGCTTGAGAGCATGGTATGTGGACTTGACTGTAGGTTGTGTCCCATGTTAAAGGTGGCTTGAGAGCGTGGTATGTGGACTTGACTGTAGGTTGTGTCCCATGTTAAAGGTGGCTTGAGAGCGTGGTATGTGGACTTGACTGTAGGTTGTGTCTTATGTTGAAGGTGGCTTGAGAGCGTGGTGTGTGGACTTGACTGTAGGTTGTGTCCCATGTTAAAGGTGGCTTGAGAGCGTGGTGTGTGGACTTGACTGTAGGTTGTGTCCCATGTTAAAGGTGGCTTGAGAGCGTGGTGTGTGGACTTGACTGTAGGTTGTGTCCCATGTTAAAGGTGGCTTGAGAGCATGGTATGTGGACTTGACTGTAGGTTGTGTCTTATGTTAAAGGTGGCTTGAGAGCGTGGTATTTGGACTTGACTGTAGGTTGTGTCCCATGTTAAAGGTGGCTTGAGAGCATGGTATGTGGACTTGACTGTAGGTTGTGTCCCATGTTAAAGGTGGCTTGAGAGTGTGGTCTGTGGACTTGACTGTAGGTTGTGTCTTATGTTGAAGGTGGCTTGAGAGCGTGGTATGTGGACTTGACTGTAGGTTGTGTCCCATGTTAAAGGTGGCTTGAGAGTGTGGTCTGTGGACTTGACTGTAGGTTGTGTCTTATGTTGAAGGTGGCTTGAGAGTGTGGACTTGACTGTAGGTTGTGTCCCATGTTAAAGGTGGCTTGAGAGCGTGGTGTGTGGACTTGACTGTAGGTTGTGTCCCATGTTAAAGGTGGCTTGAGAGCGTGGTGTGTGGACTTGACTGTAGGTTGTGTCCCATGTTAAAGGTGGCTTGAGAGCGTGGTGTGTGGACTTGACTGTAGGTTGTGTCCCATGTTAAAGGTGGCTTGAGAGCATGGTGTGTGGACTTGACTGTAGGTTGTGTCTTGTGTTGAAGGTGGCTTGAGAGCGTGGTATTTGGACTTGACTGTAGGTTGTGTCTTATGTTAAAGGTGGCTTGAGAGTGTGGTATGTGGACTTGACTGTAGGTTGTGTCCCATGTTAAAGGTGGCTTGAGAGTGTGGTCTGTGGACTTGACTGTAGGTTGTGTCCCATGTTAAAGGTGGCTTGAGAGTGTGGTCTGTGGACTTGACTGTAGGTTGTGTCTTATGTTAAAGGTGGCTTGAGAGCGTGGTATGTGGACTTGACTGTAGGTTGTGTCCCATGTTAAAGGTGGCTTGAGAGTGTGGTCTGTGGACTTGACTGTAGGTTGTGTCTTATGTTGAAGGTGGCTTGAGAGCGTGGTATGTGGACTTGACTGTAGGTTGTGTCCCATGTTGAAGGTGGCTTGAGAGTGTGGACTTGACTGTAGGTTGTGTCCCATGTTGAAGGTGGCTTGAGAGTGTGGACTTGACTGTAGGTTGTGTCCCATGTTAAAGGTGGCTTGAGAGCATGGTATGTGGACTTGACTGTAGGTTGTGTCCCATGTTAAAGGTGGCTTGAGAGCGTGGTATGTGGACTTGACTGTAGGTTGTGTCTTATGTTGAAGGTGGCTTGAGAGCGTGGTATGTGGACTTGACTGTAGGTTGTGTCCCATGTTGAAGGTGGCTTGAGAGTGTGGACTTGACTGTAGGTTGTGTCCCATGTTGAAGGTGGCTTGAGAGTGTGGACTTGACTGTAGGTTGTGTCCCATGTTAAAGGTGGCTTGAGAGCATGGTATGTGGACTTGACTGTAGGTTGTGTCCCATGTTAAAGGTGGCTTGAGAGCGTGGTATGTGGACTTGACTGTAGGTTGTGTCTTATGTTGAAGGTGGCTTGAGAGCCTGGTGTGTGGACTTGACTGTAGGTTGTGTCCCATGTTAAAGGTGGCTTGAGAGCGTGGTGTGTGGACTTGACTGTAGGTTGTGTCCCATGTTAAAGGTGGCTTGAGAGCGTGGTGTGTGGACTTGACTGTAGGTTGTGTCCCATGTTAAAGGTGGCTTGAGAGCATGGTATGTGGACTTGACTGTAGGTTGTGTCCCATGTTAAAGGTGGCTTGAGAGCATGGCATGTGGACTTGACTGTAGGTTGTGTCTTATGTTAAAGGTGGCTTGAGAGCATGGTATGTGGACTTGACTGTAGGTTGTGTCCCATGTTGAAGGTGGCTTGAGAGCGTGGTATGTGGACTTGACTGTAGGTTGTGTCTTATGTTAAAGGTGGCTTGAGAGTGTGGTATGTGGACTTGACTGTAGGTTGTGTCCCATGTTGAAGGTGGCTTGAGAGCGTGGTATGTGGACTTGACTGTAGGTTGTGTCCCATGTTGAAGGTGGCTTGAGAGCGTGGTATGTGGACTTGACTGTAGGTTGTGTCCCATGTTAAAGGTGGCTTGAGAGCGTTGTATTTGGACTTGACTGTAGGTTGTGTCCCATGTTAAAGGTGGCTTGAGAGCATGGTCTGTTGATTTGACTGTAGGTTGTGTCTCATGTTGAAGGTGGCTTGAGAGGTCTAACATTTAGTCCAGTTAAATTATTTACAAATATCTATCTTTAAAATAAGAAATAAAATTCCAGAACAATGGTTAATGGAGTTGAGGCAATCTAGACTTGCCAAATCATTCTAGACTTTCTTTAATGTATTCTCTAGCGCCTGGGAGACCAACTTTGTTTTTACCAGACACAAAATATTGCATCATATGTGCATGTACACATTGAGAATTGATAAAGTCTGGGGACTCAATAATTATGGCTGTTTGAATAATTACAATTTTCAAAGTTGTAGATAACATGTTACATTCATGAATAATAACATTTCTATTCTGTTGAGAAATACACTGAAGTTCTGTGATAGGCTTCTCATCAATAATATTCCTGGAAATCAAGTGAAGTATTCCACATGCTGCCCACATCACTGGGGAGTGACACTTACCCTATTCGACGTAATAAGCGCCCTGCTCTAATAAGCACCCTCGGCGATATTTGCTAACATATTGGCTAATGAACAATCCCAATTAGCACCCTTTCCGATTGATCAATGTACACAAGACTTATTTATTCGCGTATAATACGCATTCATGTGTTATATGCACCTTAAATATGGGCAATTAAATTCTTGAAAAATATATCTATCGCATATAAACATTTCAGGCTGTCAGCATAAACAACAAAATTTATCTTTTAACTCTGTTTTTATTTTCCACCAAAATAATATTCTAATAAGAGCCCCCTATTTCTAATTTTGAGAGCACCCAGGGCGCTTATTACATCAAATACGGTATGTTCATTTATCAAATCAGCTGAGAACAAAAGTTCTTTAGAACATGTTGAGACAGTATTATTCTGTATTAATACTATAATACTGTAACTGCTGTGAAAAAGGTTGTATTAATTTGATCTTTAACCAAACATTCAATGATTCACACAAGTCCTTCCTGTGTTCCCAAGTTAAGTTTATTATCAAAACATTTTAAAAGTTTTTTAGCATGTTTTTGCATGTATTTCCCAATGACTTTTCAATTTGGCCTTAAAAAAATCAAATCATTAGAATTTGGCAACCCTAACAAGTTAACATTACCAAGTATGAGTTCCTGGGAATTCCAAACACAAACCAGATGTCTCTAATTAGAAAGCATCCCAACAATTTGAGTCTGCATCCAGAATACCCCCATCCAAGCTGAAACCTGCCTCCGCATAACAAAATGCTCACATCACATATTCCAAATTGTCTCCATCGGCATCACGCTACTCATTATTATCCTGCTCGGTGTGGAAAAAACGCTCAGCTTGTAAAGTTCAGCCTATCATTATCGACGTGAATTGCATGATGAGGTTATACCGACTTCGGAATCTCCCCATCTCCATCCTGACTACAGGTCCCAACAGCCTACGCTGAATCCGGATGAGACTTGCGTTAACACTGATTTCTGTTCATAATATTTTTGTCATTGTAGTGATAGCTATTTTACACGTCAGAGCATTTCTTCATCTGAACATTCTCTTAACAGATGTTGCAATCATTATGAGTTGGCCAGATGGTTGAGGAGAAAAATGTCTGTTAACTTTAATTTTCATCTAGAACATTTAAGGTCTATATAAAGAGTAAATCAGTGTTAGAAATTGACACTAGTCCTGTAGTCCTTGCAAACTGCCCAATAGTTAAGGTATCATAAGGACTAGTAGAAAATTGCCATTTTTACAGGTTTTGCTCTATGTTATCATTATAAGGACTAGTGGAGTAAAAATGTTAGTTTCTACCGCTGTAAATATTCATATTTTGAGGAAAAAGTAAAAACTTGTGGGTCAATGGTTTTAAAGCTTTCAGATTTTTTTTCTGATTAACATTTTTATTATGCAGAAATCACCAGGTACAATAACTTTAACCTTATGTGTAAAACATGGCAAAATCAGATCAAATTCATAAGACTTTCAGATTAATCAAGTTATAATTCTTACCGTTTGTTGTCAGTTTTAACAGCAAAGCCATAGTAAGTTTGAAGCAGGCTGTTTGTTGCCTAGGATCCGGTTCCTCAAGACCCACTTGCAGTTCTCTGCTAGTCCTGTTGGTGTCTCTCCCCTCTCTCCGTCTCTGTTATTTTTAGCTTGTAAGACAGTCAGCACCTGCAGATGAGAATCTTCAATTAAACCTATGTGAGGGACTCTCTAGCACAAAGTTGTCCCAGCCAATCAGAGCCGAGCTCTCATATCTACTAGGAAAGCAGGGATGTGTGAGTGTGTTGGCTAAGTGTGGAGACAGAGTGGATGGTTGATGAGACTGTATGGTGATGGAGTCGGGATAAGGGAGGCTTCCCTGGATGAGTTTCTGTTTAATCCTGTGAAGGAGGAACTGGACATCAATGGATAGGATTTCCGACTTGGATCTTGTGGAGAAATTAAGCTCAGTGTGTCCCTTCCAGGATTGTGTTTTGCAAACAGCTGAAAGTTTGAGTTGTGTTTTTGGGTGATTTTTTAAAAATGGTTTTGTGTGTGATTAGGTTTTGAGGAAGTAGTGTTCAAAGCTGATAAGAGAGCTATATAGGAAGAGTCTGTTAACCAAGCTGATACAGTGAGTCAGTGACACAGTTTCAAAACTGCCGGACAATTTGGTCGTGGTGGATGTGATTCCAAGGAAACAGGTTTCGGATGAGAGGTTTTCGAGGATGCTATTAAAAGTGCTATCTTGCCTTCCACGTGGGATTTGTATATCATCACTGGCTAGTTAAGTTAGGAGGCAAACGTGTGTCATTTATGTGTGTGGATTACATATCCTTGATGAGAAAGCCTTCTCTTGACAGTTTGACCTTTGTAAGTGTATAAGGTTGAACTGGTGCGTTTGTGAATCTCTGCCCCAGTGAATGATCAGAGCTAATTTTTGAAAAATCGATCGATTTTTTTGCGATCAAGATGAGTCGGGTGGACAGCTCGGAATACCCTGATGACTATATTGAAATCGTGAATGAAATAAATGACTTTATCGCATCTCTCACGGGTTCCCCCGCAGATGCGAGTGCAAGTAGCGGAACAGGAAGTCAGATCAGCCATTGTGAGGAAGCGTGTCGTGACAGCGTTGAGAATGACTATGAGCCTATAGAGTCGATCATCCCGCTCCCACAGTACGTGGCCCACTACAACCCCACCCCGCCGCCACCCCCACCAATCAGGCCCAAGTTCATCAAGATGTCAGAGGGCATGCCGAAACATGTCAAGGCCGTCCACAATTTCAAGGGAAGTAACAATGATGAGGTAAGTCGATATATTTTTTGTCTCATGTTTTACAGCAAAGAATCGATTTGAATAAATATTTGGTGTTTATGTCTGATTTTTGATAGAATTGTACCCTTTTGCACATTCCGAGTTAGAAAAGGCAATGGGGCGGTCGGGTAGCCTAGTGGTTAAAGCGTTCGTCACGCCAAAGACCCGGGTTTCGATTCCCGACATGGATACAATGTGTGAAGCCCATTTCTGGTGTCCCCCGCCGTGATATTGCTGGAATATTGCTAAAAGCGGCATAAAACCATACTCACTCACTAGAAAAGGCAGGGATGGAAATTAACCAATAACGCCTGAGCAGTGATTACATACAGCAATTAGGACTGGGACAGGTAACTCGGGTACCCAGGTCAGGTTTGTCCTTAGAAGGACCCGGGTACCCAGAGGACTACCCGGACCCGTGGTTAGTCCAATCATGTATTGTTTAATGACAAAAACTCACTCTAGCTCAGTGGTTCACATTTCATTCTGACGATGCACACATTCATTTTGAATTGTATATGTTTGAGTAAAGAAAAAGCTTCAGTCAACTTCAGTGTACGCATGATCTGATTGTTTGATAAATGTACATAAATAGTTTTTGCCAGGGCTTTGTAAAACAATTCCCAATCAGACATTTTGTTCCCAACTCTTGAGACCTGCAGTGGGTACTCAGGTAGGGTCGGATAATAGGGGGTCAGTTACCCGGGTAGTAAATTTGGACTCGTCCCTGCCCAAACAGTAATACACCCAAAATGACTGAAATTCTACAAAACCTTGGAATACTTTCAACATTAACAGAACTGGTCCGGGTTAGCAGGTAACTAGTGCTAAATTTCATCTCTGATAGGTCCCTAGTACATCAATTGTGACCGGTGACAATTGGATCAGGTTGTCAGGCGATTGAATGGAATGTCACCTTACCCTGATGGCATGGAATGTTGTTCCTTATGTCGACCTCTGGTTTGAAACAATTTGAATATTGCTAACTGCATTGCGAAACAACAAGAACTGTATGAACATACTTAAAGAGCTCCCAAAGACTTTGGGGAGATAGATGAAGTCTACATTTATCAAGGAATTACCTGCTTGAAAAACATCTTTGCTATAGCATGTTGTACACCATTTGAAAGGCCTGATCCTTCTGTTTATAAATATGAAAGTTTACTTACCGTAAAAGGCGACTAACGGGATCGGGTGGTCAGGCTCGCTGACTTAGTTGATGCATGTCATCGATCCCAATCACGTGGATCGATGCTCATGATATCAATCACTGGATTGTCTGGTCCGGACTCGATTATTTACAGACCGCCGTCATGTAGCTGGAATATTGCTGAGTGCAGTGTTAAACAAACAAACAAACTCACGTGCATTCAGGTCACTATGTGTCGTGCAATAAGCTTGAGCATCACGTTAAACCCCATTTCACCTCACCCCACCTTAAAAAACCCAAACTTCCCCAATAAGTCGCCTGCGAAGAATGAAAATAGAATGAGAATAGAATGAGAATAGAATGACAACAGTACTTGTGGTGAAAATAGTACTTTAAGATATCTTGCAGAACAAGTAAAGATAATGGTAAAAAGGTAACTGATATTGTAGACAAAAGGCTGTTGTTGCCAAAACTCATTACTCACAACATGCATCCTTAACAGTGTGAATGTTGGGCAACAAATACCGTATTCGACGTAATAAGCGCCCAGGGCGCTCTTAAAATTAGAAATAGAGGGCTCTTATTAGAATATTATTTTGGTGGAAAAAAACAGAGTTGAAAGATATATTTTGTGGTTTATGCTGACCGCCTGAAATGTTTATATACGAGAGATACATTTTTCCAGAATTTAATTGCCCATAATTAAGGATGCATATAACACATGAATGCGTATTATATACAAATAAATAAGTCTTGTGTACATTGATCAATCGGAAGGGGTGCTAATAGGTATTTTTCACCAGCCAATGTATTTGCAAATATCACCGTGGGCGCTTATTAGAGCGGGGCGCTTATTACGTCGAATACGGTACTAGCCCACAAGCTACAATGGGGAATAACTCTTTCTGTTCATCTGACATTTGGGGCTTTCTTCAATATTTTTGTGAGGTGCTCTCACATTCCTGGGCTGATATGGGATATCATTTGTAGCAGGAATTGTAAGACAAGGTGTGATTGATATGCCGAGTGCACTGCTGGAAAGAAGATATACAGAAACAGCCATTTTCCTGAAGAAAAAAACATGTTTGTAAATAAGAGTTTTGAATATTTGGTTTACAATTTTCTCCAAATATTTTATGTTTGGTGGCCGGAATTGAAATATTGATATTTCTAAAAAAAAAAATTCAAAATGATTTTGTAAAAGAATTGTCTCTTTAATTGGGGAAAAATTAAAAGGGAATGTTTTTTATGTCAGGTCAAATTGTTACTTTGTATCCTGTATTGATCTGGAACCCCCAAAGCATCCTCAGCCTCACTTTGATGGAAGGATTCTATGATTTCATGAAATGTCCACGAGAATCTGACACAAGAACAAATAATTGTGAGCATTTTCGTTTCCTCTCAAAGGATCCTTTAAATGTTTATTCGTTGTGTTCGACCAGACTTCAGGCTGTTCAGGTCATTTTATCTAAAATAACTTTTGTTAAATTTATCCTCGATCATGGCTTAAGCCTTCTGAATGTGAGGTCGAAACACTGAAACAAGTATTTTTAATTCATTTGCTGCAGTTCATCACAGAATCTAAGTCCTTGACCTTGCAAAATTCTCACTTGCCCTTCATAACCCAATTTGACCCTTGCTGACCTTGACTGTGACCTTACTTGACCCCATCTGACCCCATCTGACCCCATCTGAACCCTATGAGGATATCATGTAAATGTTTATCAATGGAGATTGCAATGAACTTTACAAAGTAGCTAAACATGACTTCGTGAATTGACATCCTCTGCATCATCTTGAAGTTCCAGCAGTCTGACATACAAAGGATGCTTGTGACAGTGGAAGTGTTGTGATAGGGACCATGTGCCAATAGAGGCAGATGGTAACACATGTCTTGCCTAAACAGATGCTGGCATTTGGTGGTCTATCATCCTGATCACTGGAGATTAGATAGACACCACAGCACTGTTGACAGCACTCTCAGCATCGGATGATACAAATACCTCATATCTCTTGTGATGTGAAGTAGATTTGAATGTTCTTTTGGGAACAAATTCTTAAAGGAAAAAACATAGGTGAAGGTTCAGTAAACGGAATGCATCAGTGTGGTAGTTGTGTGTCACTATCCCTGAACCATTTTATTTCCCCTTCCGCGGCCTAGCCTAGACTGTCATGCAGACCCTGAAACAAATATCTCCAATACAGCCCATGCAGTGTTGTGAGGTGAGGTCAGGTGAAATGGGGTTTAGCGTCGCGTCCAAGATTATTGCACTTATATAGCGACGTGCATGCACGTGTGTGTGTGTGTGGCTGCTTGTACTAGACCAGACTGATGCCGATTTATAGTGCTAGCCCACTGAGATACCATGCCGCAGTTTAACATGAATACCCCACTCAGACACAGTATACTGACTCCGAGCCGACCAGTCCTTGTTTTAGCCCCTTAATGCCGAGCGTCAGACAGGATAACAACAAGTACCATCTTTTAACATCTTTTGGTATGACGCGGCCGGGGATCGAACTCCGGACCTTCCGCTCTCCGGGCGGACGCTCTACCACTGGACCAGGGAGGCGGTTGTGAACCTCAAACAACCCAGACGCTATGATCATGGATTTGAACTCTAGATATGCCTTGAATATGTTTCTGGATTTGTCATCACTATACACATGCTTGTTGCTTTCACCAAAGAGGTAATTTAGACCTGCACAAATTCTTCCATGCCTCTCAAGCTGAGGGGCGGTCGGGTAGCCTAGTGGTTAAAGCGTTTGCTCATCACGCCGAAGACCCAGGTTCGATTCCTGACATTGGTACAATGTGTGAAGCCCATTTCTGGCGGCGTTAAACCATACTCACTCACTCACTCAAGCTGACTATACTAAAAGCAAGTCTAGTTTCCAGCAGAAGAGGAAAGGGTCTTTTGTAGAAGTAAAAAATGCATCTGTTACAAAAATAATGTTTTCAGAGACGAAGTGTTAGTCTATGTGTAAGGCAACATTCAGCATGGGTTATTGACCTGCATGATTCTGCTGATTGTGAGATGCACAACAAGACAAGGTACTTGTACACAACAATGTTCAGGAAGGAAGTCTGCAGGAAATTAATGTCCACTTAACAAATAGTTCCACTTCATTGTTTCCTGGTACTTGTCAAGTCGCTCAAGTTAATATCTGTTGAGAATGACATTTGGTTGTTGTGAAACAAATCAACATTGCAATGTAAGTTAATCCACTTAAGCATCGATGAGAAGTGGGGATGCAGATGCTGGTGTGCCTTCAGCCATTGATGATGAATGCTTGGGCAGATCGGGGAAAGGGTGGACTCGGGTGGACACGGGTGGACATGGGTGGACGAGTCATCGAAGGTGCCGCAATTCAGAGTATACAAGTATATCCTAAGTCACCTTGTTTTTGGTTGTTGTTGCCGTACTCAGCAATATTCCAGCTATATGACGGCGGTCTGTAAATAATTGAGTCTGGACCAGACAATCCAGTGATTGATATCATGAGCATCGATCCACCCAATTGGGATCAATGACATGCATCAAACCCAGTCAGTGAGCCTGACCACCAGATCCCGTTAGTCGCCATGGGTTGCTGGGTTGCTGAAGACCTATTCTACCCCGGATCTTCACGGGTCCCTAAGTCACCTATTACAAATACAATGGTTAATATGAATTAACCCTGCAGGGGTCCTGGTTTAGAGCAAGTGCCCAGCAGACTAGACTAAACAAATAATTTCTCTTGACGACGCCATCTTGTCTGCTAGCAGACGAGTCAATATTCATCATGTGACAGGGAAATACTGATCATGTATTGAGTCAATATTCGAGGCCAGTCACAT